AGTCCACCTAACAGTAGGGAGGATGGCTAGAGATTATATCAAGAAGGAAGCAGAATGGGAATTTTAACCACGGAAGGGAATGAAATCAACAGAGCAGAAACTTTCGTTCTCACTTTAATTTTCCCCGAAACCAGTCCTTAGAGAACTTGTGGGTAGCAGGAATTTGCTAAACCTTGTTTTACCTTCTCCAAAATGCTTTCAGCCAGCATTAGAAATCAAAGAAGGGATTCTGGGAGGGGCAGGGGGTATGGTAGAGAAAGCATCAATGCCAGAGAAGATGGCGTGTGGCACTAAAGGTGCCCAGCTTGCAGGGTGTGGCACTGCATCATAGATGCAGGTATGTCGGGGAGGACCACGTTCTGCACAGGCAGACTCGAGCCTGATGCTTATCGACATTTCAGGAGATCTGGGTTAATGGGGGAAGGTTTTCTCTCCTCTCGTGGTATTCCCCATGTTTCAGATTTTTGCTTTGATCAGAGATAGCAAAGGCTTCAAGAAACTGGGCAGATAATCTCTAATGAAGCAAGCAGCATGGAGACTAGAAAATTGGAGTGTAGGCTGCCGGGAACAGATTGCTACCTCAAAGACACCTGGGCTGGCTCAGCAGTCTCTTCCAAGTTTTAAGGAAAGTCTTGGAGTCCCTATCCCCATGAGTACTTGGCACGCTGTGGGCCACCAGCTTGTGCCTCTCCTTCAGGTTCTTATTGGAGACAAGACAGAGACGCCTTGACCTTGACAAGCCTGACCTTGGCCTCCAGGAAGTTTATCTTTCAAGTCAGAAAATGGAAAAAAATGAAAACAAAGAAACAAACAAAAAAACAAATAATAGTTTCACACTGCCCTCTCCAAGACTCTTTACAAGTGTGTCCACGTGCTGGAAGGCCAGCTGCTGCTTCTGCAGATTCAAGACATCAATACACAGAAGCACTACAAAAGCAACAATTGATCTCCTAGGACTGAGGGAAGTGGCAAAGGTGGACTAGACATCAGTGAGTGAGCCGAATAATTGTAATAATTTTTAAACAATTTTTAAAAAACATACCAGACTTGTTTTTAAAAGTCTTATCAGGTGCCTTGGGCTGGATTTTCTTCAGACTCTCTGCTTGGCTGCACAGAAATGCTGTGTGTCTGAATGCATCGGCTAGATTGTGTGGCACTTCCAGACTATTGAGAAAAGTACTGGGAGTCTAGGAAAGCACTCAACAGCTGCATGTGTGTATTCTTGATGATGAAACTGAGGCCAGGGTGACCACCCTTTTGTAGCTGGTGGTGATGCTAAGCCTCACAGACTGTGGCTGCAGGATGGAAGTCAAGAAAGCCCTTCCCCCAGCTGGTGCTGATGGTGTAAGGTTTCCTTGTGTACCAAGAGACCACATGACCACATCACATTCCATAGAACACAAACTACCTTCAGGAATGTGTTTTTTCCCTGAATGTTGAGCTTTGTTTCCTGGCAACCAGCTTGCTCCTCTCTGCAGTTTCAGGCAAACTTTCTGTGGTGTGTGGTTACTAAGTCTGTGTGGTCACTGAAATCTCCTGAAGAAGTCCAGGGCAAAAGGATCCAGAGTCCAGTGACTAGAGTTTTCTGGGTGACTGGATTTTCTGCATAACCATGTTTTTGTTTTTTTTTTTAAAGTGTAGCAGGGTTAAATTAATTCTTCTCATCAATATCAGAGAATGGATCATTTCCTCTCTGACAGTTTGAGCAATTCACTGTGCCCCAGTGCCAGACCCCTGCCTGGACACACACATTCATCCACATTTTCTAGGAAACCCACAAATGACAAGTTGAAAAGACTAAGGCAGCAATATAGGAGCAGCCACACTGCAAAGCAAGGTCCCAGAATCACAGAGTTCTTCCATGGCAAGAGTGGTACAGAAACAAAACAAAACAAACAAACAAAAAACCAGAAACTAAACCAGAATTCTCCTGAAGAGCAATGGGCACTCACTCAGTGGATTACAAATTAAAAATAGAGTAGGCAAGACTACACAGAGAAACCGAACTACACATAAAACTACACAGAGAAACCAAAATAATAGTAATAAGAATAATAGAGGCCATCGTAATAGAAAAAGGGAAGGAAAGCATGAGGAAAGTTTGCTAAAAGATGTTAAACAGAATGTATTTTACCTTCCATTTGACAGCTTGCTATTTAATTCATCATGGCATCACCCTCATGTAATTGCCTAAAATTTGTACTGTGCTCGTCTTCATGACGTGATTAATAAGGTGGTAAATCAGATTTCTTTCATGTGACAACTTCACTCAATGTCGGTGGTTTTGTGATCTTAAGATGCTCCAAGACTGAATCGTTTTCAGTGAGCAAGTGTGCTGCTATGGATTAAGAATGTCTATCCAGGTGAGGGGCAGTGTTGAGTAGACTATTGTTTACAAAGTCTGGCTCATTTTGTCTAAATGCAAAAACAGCTAATGGCAAGCTCACATTTCCTAGAATACTCTGGGAAGTACTGATGAATTTTAGTCAAGTTACTGACTTCCTAACTTTAGATACATTTCCCCCAGATTACAGTTTCTTTAAAAAGCGACTCATTAACTTTATAACAAATGTCCTTCACCCCATGTGAAAATCTGTCAAATGAAGATTTAGAAAGCCTATCTTGGCTCAGTGAAAACTGATGTGATTGATTAGTGATGTCTGCCATGGAAATAGGCTTGGGATAATTGTGTAGGGCCTAAACCTAGTTTCAGGTTGTGCCACATCCTTTCAAATGGATTATGTTTCTCAACCTACAATATTCCAGTGAGGGTCCTGCTTTCTTTGCTATTCTATGCACTTTATTTTTATATTCTATGTAGTCTATGTATTTTTCTATTCTATTCATTTTAACTCTCATGACTCTTTTTACATGATTGGCTTACTTAAAAACCTCTATTTAAGGTGGCACATACCTTTACTCCTAGGACTTGGGAGGGAGAGATGGGCAGGTTTTTGTGAGTTTGAGGCCATCCCTGTCTACATAGTAAGTTCTAGGACAGCTAGTGCTACATAGTAAGACCCTGTCACAAACAAGCATGCAAAGAAACAAAGAATCAAAATCGTCCATTTACTCACAAATCAATTATATATTTCCAGTCTTCTATCTTTCCAGATCACTTAACGGTATAGCTAAGCCTTTAAAATCTTCTCTAAAGTATGTACGTTTCTTAGCCAAATATGATGCCATGTACCTAGAATCCAAGCACTTGCGAGCCAGAGGTTGGAATTTTACAGCGAATCTAGCTAGGAGTATATAGGAATACCTTGTCTTACAACAACAGCAGCAATGACTGCAACATATGAGATTTCTTATCTCCACCCTCCAAATCTGACAGTCAAGTTCCTAGAAACCTTGAAGCCATTCAGTGACTCACTACCTAAGCAGCAATCCTGGCTCCAAACTAAAGCCTTTCATCGGATCCAACAGTTTCCCTGTTCTTCCCTCAGGAGGGTTTTCTCATTTAAACCTTTTTCCTGTTTCTTTTTCTTTCTTTCTTTCTTGTAGAGGAAAGCTTTATTTTATTTTTTTTCACAGTACAGGTAGCAACACCTAAGTTTGTTATACATGTCACATGGTGTAACAGGACAGCCAGGAATGAGAAGTCTGGTGCTCATTCTGATAAATGTGCCCATGATCTGAATAATGCTTCCTTTTGCAGGTGTAGTTGACATGCTATGTTGTGACACAGTCTGCAGTGACAGCTCAGTGTCCCCTATGGCGTCCAACAGTTATGTTGCCCCCAGTATCATTCACTCTTCCTGCATCCTCCAGGCACCTGGACCCACAGCGCCATCTTTATCATATACAATGTTTTGCTCAAAACAATGGATTTTCATATCCTGATACATAAATGTAAATTCCTCTTTTTGGCTCTCAAGTACACTATGGGACATTCTGTTGGCAGTGTGGTGTTTGGAAAAGAAAGAAAACAACAACAGCAGCAAAACAAAATAAGCTGTGGCATTTTACTGGCCACGAGAAGTTTATGTAACCATGCTGTCTCTTTCCTTTCTTCCTTAAGTGTAAAATATCAAGCCTTATTTTAAGGACTTATTATGAGAAGTTAAAAGATTGTATAGGGGCTGGAGAGATGACTTAGCAATTAAGGATGCTTTCTGCATTTTTTTTTTCAAATGATCCAGGTCCAGCACCCACATGGTGGCTTAAAACCATCATTAGCTCTAGTTCCAGGACATCTGATGCTCTCTTCTGGACTACTTGAATGCAATGAACATACCTATATGAAGACAATGACACATATAGAATAAAATCAATGGATCTAAAACAAATTAATATAAGTCTATAAATGGCAGGTTTAGCCCAGTACTTCACACAAACTTAGTGCGGAATAAATGGTGTTATTGCTATAATCAATAATAAAAGTAGTAATAAATTCCATAACTTTGCTACCCTTGTCTGTATGGTCAGATAATCATGACAGTGTCTATGAATTCTGTTGAAAAACAAGGATAGGACCTAAGCTGGAAGGCTATGGAAAGGGCCAGATTATACAAATGAATGGTAGAGCTTGGCACCATTCCCACCCTTGCCCTTCTATCTAGGATCTTGAAAGAGCACCCTTATTGATCCCTTGAAGAATAACCCCAGAATGGTGTACTACACTTGTCGCAGATGACATTTTATCTCTAACAGTCCTACCCCTTTATCCAGCAAATTCTATACACTTCAAAATCCAAATGTCATCTTCTCCATGAATTCTTTGCTAAGTTTCTTGTTTGCTGCTGCTGGTCTTGCTTTCCAACTCCCCGCACTGAGTGTTCACTAACTCTCATACCATTTATCATTTTAGCATTTGTTGAACTGTATCTTGTTCACTGCAGAGGTACAGTGCCAGATAACACTCCTGGATAGGAATCCCTTCCCGAAAAGGTTTACCTGGAGGGGAGAAACCCTCTTCAGACATGTATGACAATCACATTTACCCTATCGTTTTTTTTTTGTTTTTTTTTTTTTGTTTTTTTTTTTTGTAATTGCAGCTTCTTTGCATGAACAAGGAATAGTTCAAATGACTGTGAAAGACTACATGAGGTAAGTAGCAGAATTAGTCACTTCACTCTGAAATTTTACAGCTATATCGTTGATAAATGAAGTAGAAACAATGAAAATCATTTCTTCTTAACAAGTCTATAGATCTTGGGATCTCATGAAATGGTGAGCTCTTAGCCCCTATGATTAGGGCATTTTCACTAGCCTTGGCAGAATTAGAGGTATCCTTAAATATAAAAAAGAAATGAGAGGATTGTGTCAACAAATGCTGACCAGATAGGAAACTTAATTGTAATATTTGTATAAATGCATTCTACTGCTATGTATTGATTGACTCATGGTTTTGTCTAGAAAGTGATGTTACTCAGCACACTGTTTACCAACTGTTTAGATGTTGTTGGGAAAGCAGTGTGTCTCTAGTTAAGGAGAGAGTAGATTTCAGAGTGTGCTTCCCAGAGCAGTTGCATGATCTGGAACCTTAGAATAAAAGCCCACCTCTGCCATACTAAATTGAACATCTTAGGGGAGGTTCAGAACTGTGCTCTACAAATCCTTCAGAGGATTCCCAGGCATGGTCTAGTTTAAAAGATGCTGGGACTGAGCTCTTTGAGGGCAGGAGCTACTTCCTGTTCTTGGTTCAGCCTTGCCAGTTCAGAATCAATCAGAAAACTAAATATACAGGCCAAGGTGCACACAGTCCCCAACTATTCTTCCCTTAGGTGATCCGTTGCATTGATCTGATGCAATAACACGTTTAGAAGACACCAAAAGAAAAAAAAATCTCCCAGGTAGTTCAAAGAGAATGTTGGGAAATGGTTCATGGACAAGCTCATGCCTATATGGCTGGATCAAAACAGGAAGTGTTCATGGATTCCTCTGGATATGACTGGTACAGCTTCTGTGTTGCTCTACTGAACTTTGCAAACTGGATATAGCCCTCAAATTAAGAAAGAAGACTAAGATTTATAAAAAGAAAGAGATGAGATGTGGTCATTTGTATCTCTGATTCTAAAAGACTGATACAAAGTAACTTGAAGGAGCAAGGCTTTATTTGGCTTACAAAGTACAATCCTTCATTTAGGGACACCAGGGTTGGAACTCAAGGCAGGAATCTGGAGAAAGGGACGAGAAAAACAGAGACCACAGAGGAGTATGGCTTGCTCAGCTCTCTTTCTTATACAGCCCAGTTCACCTTCTTGAGAATGGGGCCATCCACAGTAGACTGGGATTTCCTCCATCACTGAGAAGTCAACCAAATGCCCTACAGATATTCCCACAGCTCCCACAGGCCAACCAAATGGAGACAATTCCCCAATAAAGATTCACAAATGTCTTTAGTTAGTATGGAAAGTTGGGGGGGGGGGAATAAAAACCTAACCAGTATACAAGGCTATAAACAAAAAGATGTATTTTCCTCTTTCTTCAAGATCTACTGCCATTTTAAAGTAAAATTCTTATTATTCAGAAACATGTTCTTTCTTATCCTTAATGAAAAGAAACAGCCAAACAGAGATACAGGGTCCAGATGTTCTTATTCAGTATGGACAGGGCCAAAACAAATTTAGCAACTCAGGTTAAGTAACCTCGTCTCCTTGGGAACATTGACATCTGCAGTATTGTTTGATAAATTTTAATTGTATGCCAACTGTCTAATATGATAAGTGATATACCTGAGCTACATAAAACAGAATTATAGTATAATATAGTTCAATTTTCTTTAAGGTGCTCTAAAATGTTTTGAAATACAGATGTACTAGATATGACAATTCTCATTGTCTTGCTTAGTAAGGAACTTCATTACTATTGCATATGGTTAGCCACAAGAGCTCTGGAGACACAGGTTAGAGACTGTTAGCCATGAAATACGAAATCCTTTTTCCTTGTGAGAAATTGCATGGAGGAACTCCAATGGTTATTTGCTGTATGTCTTTCATCACATAATATCAAACACTTCCCTCAAGTTGGAGCCTAGCAAAGCTGTGTTCCTGAAAGGTCCCCCAATGATTTGCCATCTGTCAGGAGTGATACATCCTGTCACCTTTATAATAAGCACTCGCAGGCACCTAACACTTAAATTCTCACACCTTCTATAGCAATGCTCAGAAAGAAGGAGCACCCTGTGCTGCACACACTGCCTCCTTCCAAGGTGTGGCCACTGTGGGGTTATTAGAAAGAGGAGGAAACACAAAGGCTTTCTCTGAAAGGAAAATCATCTCAAGGCCATCCTGGGGGAACCTAAAGCAATGTGACTCATCTTTGATCTCCTTGCATTCTAGATCTCTGCATCAGTTCTCAGAGACTCCTACCCTGTCCAGAGGGACTAGCTTCAACTCTTGCTATTCCACCACAGGTGTACCCCAAAGGTATGTGACTTCCTGGAGCTATCATCCAGATAGATGATTCAGCTCAAAAACTGGCTTCCTGAATTTCTAAATATGCACCTGAAAAAAAAATACTTGTTAAATTGATAGATGAGAGGGAGAACAGAGAATTTCCAAACTTGATTTTAAAGAACATATTAAAAGAGGCAGTGAATTTGGAAAGGAGGTTAAGCATCTGTCACTGGGAAATATCTGATAAATGATTAGACCTTGTAGTTGCAGGAATTTCATTCATCGACAAAACATGTAAAAAAATATATGAACTGCAGCTCTACCTATTAGAACTATCACTGGATCATATTTTAAGACAAAACTAAAAGCTGCAAAAAGATACAGAAACCACACTGTTATTGACAGGAGTAGCAGGTAAAATTTACAAAGTATGTCTATTCCTACCAAGAAAAAGATCTGGAGAAAGGTCCATGGACTTAGTGGGAATGGGTAAAGACTCAGGACAAAAATTGACATGTAATAATTTACTTTTTTGGAGGTGAATTCCTTTTGTTTATTTCTTGACCAGTGAAATATATTGCAAGTTAATGAAATTGTATAATGATTTGATAGTATGTGCAATAACAAGCCACTTAATATTCATAGTGGTGGCCATGACACTATACCCTTTGAATGTCAGGAACAGTCTTTGTTAACTTTGTGTCATAGGTACTTAGCCTCAGAGCTTAGAATATTACAGATGTTAAATACAGGTTATTAAATATGGACTGAATAAATATTCATACAGTGGGGTCCATAGATAATGAATTAAATTTTCATGTGGAATTTAGGATGCTCTCTAATCTAATTTCTCATTGGAACCTTCTTTATATCAATTTGTCCATGGCATACAATCAACTCATTGACACTGCAGCTTTCCAAATCACTTTAATGATTAAGGTATCCCAGCCAAACTATTTAGATCCCTCAGCGAGGGTTCCTAGGCTGCTTTTTCTTCTTTGATTCTGTCAGAAGGCTAATTACCAAATCTGTAAGTGACATTAAAAATTGTGAACATGACACTGGTGGTATTAAGAGGGTTTTCCCAAGAGGCTAATGAGACTGTTGCTCTGGAGAAAAAATTCTCTAAAGAGTCTCCAATAAGCTCATGAGAGCGGCAAGGACAGTAAAGGCACATAGAAACCTTATTGAAGATGCAAGGAAACCTGCTGAAACCTTATGAGAAATCTCAATTATTCCCACAGGGTCCATGGCATTTGAAAGTTCAAACACCATAATTTTCTGAGTGAGAAGTGAGTTGGTATACATAACATTTTTAGATAATTGATTCTTACTTCTGTGCCAACACAGAGTAGAACAATTTGAATAAAGGATGTCTTGTTTCTCAGCCAAGTCAAGACAAAATTTAAACAAACAAACATCAAAAACCAGAACATATTCTAATCTTACCTAGGGACATGAAAGCATTATTTGGAAACATTGATCTTATAATGTGCATTCAGCAATATCCTTGGCAGATTTGTGTAGCTAAGGATGCCCTAGACTGATTGCTTTAAAAAAAAAAAAAAAAAAGTTCTTTGAGACTCCACTCCCAGGCTGTTGTTTTCTGTTTCCTCAACTGCCATCAGTTATTGTTTCGTGGTGGTTATGAGTGCACTGTCTATGACTTCAGCTCCCCAGTCTTTATGCCCTGTCTAATGTAACACTTGTCCAGTGAGAAAGAACAGCCAGGTGGATAAACTCGCGGTTTGTAAAGCACAGGCAAGCGTCTTTGGGTGGGGTTTCCGACTGTCTTTTAAGTAAGCTGTGTGAGTGCTAATAAACTCACCATCTGTTTGTCTGTTCAAGTTCCTCTTCCACTCAAATTTTGGAAGACTGGATGAGTAGAAAAAAATGGATTGTGGTTAAATGGGCTGTTATAGATGAAGATATTCTTGTTTTTATCTCAGCATTCCTGAATGGCTGGAATTTTGGGAAAAAGATCCAGTGGAGATTCTTTTGGATCTGGGCTTTGGTGCTGATGAACCAGATATCTGCACACAAATTCCAGCCAGGTTCCTTGGTTGCAGCTCAGCAGCCAGAGGAATTAACATTCGTGTTTTTCTTGAAGCACAGAAGCAGCGGATGGACTTTGAGAACCCTGATTTGTACGGTAAGTAGGAGCCTGTGGCATTGCATCTCAGCACTTGGCACAGAGTACTGGGGAGGACCACAGTGATGGACAGGATACACTTGTGCTTGTATGTGATACCATTTAACCCCTCCCCAAGTGGCTTGAATAGAAAAGATTGACTTCTTGATCCCTTTTTATTTCCGCCATGGCTTGGTATGAATATTTAGAAGCAAGACTGAATTGGCCCATAGTGTCACTGAAGGGTTTTGCCTGTCCCTACTACAATCTAGAGTATCACCAGTGGCAAAGACAGGGAAAATATGGCAGTGGGAAAGTATGCTCATTACAGGTCATTGGATGTTATTGGCCAAGTCACATGACTTCTTAACTCCATGGCAGTGGAATGTGCGATCCTGTGTAAGCCTAAGAGTAAAACCCTCTCCTGGGCACCTGTAATGTCTATTCCAGCCACACTCCAGAAGGCAGACAAGCCGCCTCATCATAAAGCATTAAGTGAAATCTCCTCCACTGGAGGCTGGTCAGACTGCTACTGTCTATGCCTTGGGATGAAGGTGGTAGCTACTCACCAGTCACATCTGGCTGAAGTGTGTATTAGCTATACTTAGTCCTTATCACCAGTGTGAACTTGCCATGCTGGGGCACTCTCATGGATCACATGACAGAGTTTCAGAAAATCTAGATAGAGAAATGCTAAAGTTCTGATTCTGAAATAAGTTCTTTTAAGTTTACCAAAAGCTAAGTCAATGAAGATGAAGTATTTTCTCAAATAACTATCTGAAAAAGAGACTTCATTTGGATTTCCCAGCTTAGTCTCTCTCTCTCTCTGTGTGTGTGTGTGTGTGTGTGTGTGTGTGTGTGTGTGTGTGTGGTGTGTGTGTGTGTGTGTGTGTGTGTGAAATGGTTCTCAAAATTTTAACAGTGAAGTTTGAGAGTATGTCATCCTGAAGGTGTTTTGATGTACTCTTTTTACTTCTAAAAGGAGTTACTCTGGTTTCCTCCTCTTCCGGAAATGGAAGTTCCTTGATCAATTTTCTATTTCCAGAAAATATCAAGACTTAATGGTATTTATTTACATAGTGTTTGAACTAATCTATGAGGTAGGCATTTTATAAATGAAAGTGATACATTGATTATAGAGAAGACAGGAGTGGACCTTTGGTCCTGGAGTGACTGCCTCACTTTTGGAGTAGACTTTTACTTCAATAAAGCTAAGAATGTCAAATGTAAAGAAAGCAAGAACTAAAGTAGTTGGCTGCTCAAGACAGAATGGAAAAGAATGCTTCATTCAAAGTTAAGCGAAGAGTTTAAACTTGAGGATAAAATCAGTTATTTAATCTACCCATAGACCAACATAAAATGTTTAGATATGCTCAAGAGAGTTGTTCCTGAGTTGATTGAACCAATTTAATTGGTAGGTTTTGTCTTAGTCTAAGTGTAAAAACATAGACGGATTTAAGGTGATCATCAAAGCAATTGCATTCCCTAGCTCATGAAAGAGATGATTATTCATATAAGCTTAACATAAGGTAAGAATGTAATCAGAATTATCTGAAAATATCCAAAACCCAAGAATTCTTCTAAAGGTCTTAAAGAATTTCATTGTTCACTATGAAACATCCAGTAGTTCTTTTGAAGCAGAAAGATGGTTAGCTGATAGTTTCTTCTTCCAGATGAAAGAAGCAGGTGAACACGGGAGATGCTCAAGGAAGGCTGAATAGATTGCTGTGGGGTCCAGGAGGACAGCATCTGTGATGTTTTATCTTTGTTGTCATTTTAACTAGATTATGAAAGCACATCTCCAGTGTGCTGTTGGAGAATTCATAGAGAGGGTTACTGAGGGGAGAAAGGTCTGCTGGGAATGTGGGCAGTCCCCTTCCCTAGGCAAGAACAAAGCATGAAATAATGGGGAGAATGACAAGCCCTGGCAACACAGGCACCCCTGTCCTGGGCACTGAGCTGAGCTGTGCTGACCTACCATGCCCACTTGGCCATGATTGGCTGAAACCATGACCAGCAAAGGTAATAATTCCCTTGAGTTTTCCCTCTGAAGTATTTGATCACAGCTTTCAAAGATGCTTGAACAGTGCAGAAACTTGGTACTAGAGAAGTGAGGTCTTTAGTGTGGCTTTATTTGACAATATTGCTAAGAAGACTTTGGGATTGATTTGTGAGATAAATTGGGGGAAGATAAATCAACTGGAGAAGCCCCAGGATGTTGCTATAAGCAGGATTAATTGATTGGGTATTTTTACAGGGAGCTCAAAAGACCAAAGTACTGATAGAAGGCGAATAGTGGAGACGAAGCTTCTGGGAGATAAAGGGTATTCCTCCCTGAAAACTAGGAAGAGACTGTAAGCCAGTCCTGTGATATAGCAAAGGTCTGTTTTAAAGACCTGAAGAGAGGCTGACCTTTACAATGATGGACTAACTACAACAATAGAGAAAACTTCAAAGCAGACCAGTATCATGCGGAAGTGTGGTTTTTACTATTTTTTCTAGCAAAATTTATAACAAGAAGCTGAGCAAAATGTGAACAGGAAAATTTGGAAGTCAGTTTGTCCAGGAAAACTGTGGAAAGCTGGAGTGGAGATCATGACTGCTAAGACCATGGCCATTAGAAGAAACTAAGCACTTTGCATCAAAATAATAGAAAAGACATAGTGAAGGGACCTCAAAAAATGGCCCCACAGCTGAGGAGAGGCTCAGTGGGTAAAACACTTGCTAGGCAAGTGTGTGAACTGTATCTTGGATCCCCCAAACCCATAAAGAAATGTGAGTGAGAGTTGGGGAGATGCCTTAATTTTAAGTGCTTTTCATGTAAGGAAGAGTGCCAGAGTTTAGATGACAGATCCCACGTAAATGTCAAGTAGGCATGGAAGAATGCCTGCAATTACAGCCTTAGAAAGCAGAAATGGGATGCCCTGGAGCAAGCTGGGTAGCCAAACAGGCCAAAACAGTGAGCTCCAGGTTCTGCAAAAAGCCGTACATCAATGTATTAGGGGAACGAGCTCGAGGAAGACATCCTATATCAATAATGAGCTGTCACCTACATATAAACGCATGGGTAGCTGCATATACCTCTACACTCCCACACAAAGAAACATGCATATAAACATGTACACACCACAGAAATACACATGCAAAAATATAAATGAGTCTGTTGAGACCTCATTAATTACAGGCTCAATTGAAATGTTTGAATTAATTTAAAAGACTTGGGAGGAGAGTTTGGGGGATACCCTCTTCACACAAGCTATTTAGGAAGGTAATCTGGGCACGCAAGGGAGTCTGGCTGCTTATTTGAGCTAGTGGTATACAAGTATAGTGCTTTTGTTTGCTTGCTTGTTTTTTCTAGACATAGTCTCACTACAAAGTTCTGGTTCTCCTGGAACTCACTACGTATACCAGGCTGGGCTCAAATTCACAGAGATCTACCTGCTTCTGCCTCCCAAGTACTGTAATTAAAGAAGTGCATAGCCACATCCAGCTCATGCTGTTAGTTTGTAAGCATGCAAGTTATTTTATAAAAAAAAAAAAAAGGATTATGGATACTTTCATCCATATTCCAAAGTAAAGTCTGAAATGTCAGGCAATGTGCACAGTAATGTCCCATTCAGGTAGCTACTGAAAGGACAATGTATGGAACTATGAGAGGGGAGAGAACCCCAGAAGTCAACGATCACAGCAACATGAAACATCTGCCATAGAAAGCCACAGTCAATGAATGGAACAAACTCAAGAGAGAGGCTGCATTGGCTGAAAAAATAAGGCCAAAACAGTCAGGCTTTATCAGCCCACTGAAGTTCACATAATGCCAATCTGTACCCTGGATGATGGGCGTGGAGCCACAGAATTTAAGTTTTGTCCTGGTGGATTTCAGCCTTGATTTGATCCCATCCCTTTCTTCTATGATTCTATTTCTCCTTGAGAAGAGGGAATATTTACTCTAGACCATCATATTTCAGAAGTATAGAAGCTAGTTCTGATCTCATTCAGCCTTACTCTTCTCACTTTGGAGCATAATTATCAAGGTTAAAAAATAGTCATGAACATTTACTATGTTTGATGTAGAGCTAAACACTGCATGTGTATTAACTCATGCACAGTGGGGTCATGCTCCTAGTGATGGCTGACCGGTGGTTTGGAACCAGGCCTCCTGATTCCACATGTTAGTCCACACTTGGGTGATGAAGATGACGGACATGATGATGGGAGAGCTGTTGCATGAAGCTATGGGAAGCAGACTCGGACAACTTTATGTTGAAAGCCTGGGTTATTGCTTCAGGGTGTATTTTATCTTTTGCAATAGTAAGAATGGACATTTATCTCTTGACATTTGATTTTTTCCACATAAACATATAGAATCACACAACTCTAGAGTCTTAAATTAATTAGCATATAATACCTGTGTACATATAGGAACCCACAAAGTTACCTGTATCCGTGTGAAAACTCTGGCTTCTCATTAGGTTGTGGTCTCATCTTCAGAGAGAGTGGCATGGCTGGGAAATATTTGAGTTTCAACAGAGTAAAGTCTTTCTTGTTTCTGAAAAGCACATTATCCATTCTTTAAGTTTGCTTTTCTTTTTACATTTTAATTTAGTTACTGTGTGTGTGTGTGTGTGTGTATATGCGTGTGTGTGCCTGCGTGTACGCCTGCATACACACATGTGGAGGCCAGAGGACAACTTGTGGAAAGTTGGTTTTCTCCTTTTACCATGTGGATTCCAGGCAGCAAACTAAACTGCTTGGATTGATTGCAAATAACTGCTGTCTCCCATTGCTTAGTTCCTATTATATTATTTACTGCATCGAAGTATTTTCATAGAAACACTTCTGTAAAACTTCCATGTTCCTATATTCTTCAGGCCGGTTCCGACAGTTGGAAATCCTGGATCATGTGACTGATGCCTTCTCATCTTTGCTGAGTAGTATTAATACCCTACAGAGCCAGGATGAAGAAAAAGCTGGAAGACAGGGTGTGCAAAGCCCCTCGTCAAGTGGAGCTAAAGGGAATCTGAGAAGAATGAGTCAAATTTTAAGGAGGACTTCAAGACAGTACAGCAGGAGGGATGGTAACCTAGCACTGTCAGAATCATTCAAAATGGAACACGGGATTTCTACTCTACCTACCAAGCAATGGGAGCATAGAGTGGGGCTACAGGTGGCTTCCCATAGTGATGATGGAAGTCAAATGTCTCCTTCAACAGAACATGATTCTGCCCAAGCCTGCAATGGCTTGTCACCTTGTCTTCCTCCACAAGCTCTTCTGGACAAGCAGTGTCCTCATGTCTGTTTGTCTGAGGGCTCAGTTAGGAGGAGAACCTGGAAAGAGAAATGGATTCATATGGACAAACTCAAAAACTTGTCTCAGATTGTGAGTAAAGGACCAGACTCCTTTGAAATGGAAGAGGTGAGTGTTGTATTTACTACTTGGCTTCCTCTTGGAAATGGCCATGCCACCATCTTTTTGCCTTCTTGCTTCCATTGATACACTTGATCTTGCAACTTTTACTGTTTTACCTTACGGTTATGTCTTAGTTAAGGCTTTACTGCTGTGGAAAGATACCATGACCAAGTCAACTCTTTTAAAGGAAAATATTTAATTGGGGCTGGCTTAGAGTTTTAGGGGTTTAGTCCAGTATCATCACTGGGGGAAGCACAGCAGCATTCAGGGCAGACATTGCGCTGGAGGAATCAAGATGTTATACATCTTGATCTGCAGACAGCAGAAGGAGACTGTTCCACTGGGTATGGGTTAAGCATATATGACCTCAAAGCTCTGCCTTCACAATAACACATTTCCTTTAACAAGGCCATGCCTCCACATAGTGCCACAACCTGTGGCCAAGCATTCAAACACATGAATCTATGGGATCATGCTCATTCAGACCACCACAGGTTCTAAATTTGGATTAATCTGAGACACTTAAAATTATTGTAATTGCTTCACATAGAACTAAACTAGTATGAAACAAACCTTCTCCTATTGTCTTAGTTACTTTTCGATTGTTGTGACCAAGGCAATTATAAAAGAAACAGTTTTTTTTAGAGCCTTACAGTTTCATAGAGTAAGCCTATGATTATCATGGAAAAGAGCATGTCAGCAGGCAAGTAGGCATGAAAGCTTACATCCTGATCCACAAGTACTATGCAGAGAGAGCTCACTGGGGATGGCATAGACTTTTGAAATCTTAAAGCCTGCCCCCAATGACACACCTCCTCCAACAAAGCCACAGTTTCTAATCCTTCCTAAAGAGCTCCTACCACAGGGAAGCAAGCACACAAACGAATGTGCCTGTGGGGTCATCCTCATATAAAATACCACACCTAACCACCTTTTTTTCTTATTCACAACTGAATCTGACTAATTTCTTACTTTGATTTCACCCAATATTTTATTAATTATCTCAATGTGATTTTCATCTACTTTCTATTCATAATTCACCTTCTTTAAGGTGTCAGTTCAATTACTCCCACTCAGTGACAGTTGCCCCAACAATTTCTTCTCCGTGTTCTCAGAGTCTGGGCACAGAGACCCATGTATATTAGTAGCCTCTGCTGTGCTGAACTTTTTTTTTTAATTTTTTATTAATTACACTTTATTCATTTTGTATCCCCCCATAAGCCCCTCCCTCCTCCCCTCCCGATCCCACCCTCCCTCCCCTTTCTGCATGCATGCCACTTCCCAAGTCCCCTGATAGGGGAGGTTCTCCTCTTCTTTCTGATCTTAGTCTATCAGTTCTCATCAAAAGTGGCTGCATTGTCCTCTACTGTGGCCTGGTAAGGCTGCTCCCCCCTCAGGGGGAAGTGATCAATGAGCAGGCCAATCAGATTATGTCAGAGGCAGTCCCTCTTCCCATTACTATGTAACTCACTTGGACACTGAACTGCCATGTGCACCTGTGCAGGGGAAGTGATCAATGAGCAGGCCAATCAGATTAGGTCAGAGGCAGTCCCTCTTCCCATTACTATGTAACTCACTTGTGCACTGAACTGCCATGTGAACACCTATGCAGGGGTTCCAGGTCATCTCCACGAATAGTCCTTGGTTGGATTATGATTTTCTGGGAAGTTCCCTGTGTTCAAATTATCTTGTTCTGTTGCTCTCCTTGTGGAGTTCCAGTCCCCTCCATGTGCTGAACTTTTGACAGCAAAGTGTTTGGAAATACTAACCAAAATGTGTCATGCAACATCCTTAATAAGACACTAAGAATTCAGTATGAGCTTTGTATGTGAGGAGTTAGTTTTCTTTATTTGTGCACCTTAGAGTTTGTTGATATTCATTGAGAGTTTATTGATATTCATTGTAACCCTATTTCACCTGTCTTCTCTAATTCTTCATTCTTACTTTCTCTCACTCATACTGGTTTGCACTGTTATTCTGATATTTCCTTTTGTATTTAGTTGATAAAAATATATACATATGTATGTATATTTCCACTTATATCTGTATTCATAATGGTAGCTTCAAAGGGACATGAGCTTACTGATAACTGTTACTTCACTCAATGCCATAGAATGAGAAAATGCAGCTTAAGGAGACTTCATATTAAAGAGGAACCAATGTTAGGTTTGATGTTTATTTTTCAGTAGCAAATCTAAAGAAATAAAATTATAAGCAATAAAAATATGTGTAAAATGGCAGATTTTGAGACATTTAAATGATAGCCAATATGCATAAATATCTGGCCAGTAGAGTTTTAACTGTGATTGGCTAAACTTTCCTTTACAGCCAATCGATCCATGCTTCTCTCTAGTTCTGTTGACTAGTGCTTTTGGCAATATTTGGCATGAATATCAAGACCATACTTTCAACAAAAATTATACATAGATTTCTAATGCAAAGGGCAAGATATTTAATGTGTTTAATTCTACTAAGTCAAGTTGGGTCCATTTCTTTTTTACATTAATTAAGCTAACATTTAAAATGTTAAATAAATTTAATACTTATGAAATTCATGCAGTTATTCTACATGATGGATGCTTCTTTATGTTTGTGAATGGATCACATATTGCAGAAAACAAATGTGAGATCAAACAGTATTGTTGTCAGTTGGCATCTCATTGGATGAAGACTGCTTCTGTAGTTATTTAATTCCTTCTGATTTTTTTTTTTTTAACTAATAACTTCAGATCAGGTAGGAAGCCCAGGGATATACCTGGCACTTATTTTAAATTGTTGCATCGTACTCTGTGGGTTTTTCTTCGTGCTAATGATGTAAGAAGAGAGCTTTCTCATTACATTTAAAAATGTGATGAAGCACATTGGTTTGAGCTACCAAACCAACAAGAGAAACACTGGGAAGTCCATCTAATCGGGTCTCAGTGTAAGATTATAAGATAATATGCCTTCCAAGTTCTTGTGTGAAAACTTTTAACTTCATAACTATATCCAGAGAGAGTGTGCAAAACATGAATACTAGAAGGAAACACTCCAAATGTCAATAGTAACTATTTTCACCTTCTAAAGCATTTTCTCGGTGACATACTTCTACAGTAAGCTGTGTTTAAAGGTTATGTTTACTGCCTTGTTTTAGCAATAGCTTGGTCATCATTTATACAATATTATCCATTGCTTCCCAAAATACTTTAAAAATAAACTCTGCTTCCTCAATTTAGAAATAAATTTTGTTTATTGTGTCTAAGTACTATGTAGCAGCTGTACTATAGGAATTACTGAGCATAAGCTTATCAAGTCAAAGTTAGCTAACTTTCTCACGCATGTTTAATATTTTCCAGTGGCAAAAGAAGTTCAAAGGCTTTGATCCCCTCACCCACAAGTGATCTGCCCCTCCCCTGAACTCTTAATTCTTTGAGTCTTTTATGTGGACATCTCATGCCACCTCTTCCCAGGAGCCTATTACTATTTGAGTCTGGCAACTCATGTTTATTCCTCTATATTATCCACTGTGGTTATCAGTGGATAATCATTGATAATTGATCAAATCAAGTAAATGTGTCATGAAAATATTTCTAGTGAAACTGATGTATTTTGATGTCTTAGGTCCAGAGCTTTGAAGAAGACATTGGCAACCCTCTTAACCTGACCTCAGGAATTGTAGGTAAGAATTCAAAAACAGATGATTTCATCAATGAGTTTGATTGTTCAGAGAGGGAATGAAATAGTGGATACCCAGGTAGTTCAATGAAAATACATGGAGATTCATTGTCTCCATGAATTCCTATACATTTCTGTATCATCTACATTGCAATGTAAATTGCATGTACATTTTAAAATACTTTTCAGGATACCATTTACTCTTCCTGTGGCTGCTGTACGTGATTTGAATGTGTGTGTAGCAGTGTCTGTATGAGTCATGTAGGAGAATGGATTTCCATTCCAATCTGAGAGTGAGTGGGTGCTTTTCCCCTCCTACTGTCCAGTGCTGGTTGTTGCACAAATTACACCATTTAATGGGCTTTGGTTTTTTCCCTACACGATAAATAAATAAGTGCAAATATTTTTTAAGTTTCCTATCAACAGTTGAATTCTAAATTTTGTGTGGCCTTGTGGAAAGAAATTGCCAGAGTGCAGCTTTCCTGGCATCTCTTGGGATGATGCTCTACATTCTAGAATACAGACTAAACCCTGCTTTGTTCCTGCTTCTCATGCCCCAAGTCACAGCTCTCACAGCTGTGTGGTCCTTCAGTGAAGCTGGAATCAGGCAGAGATTAGTCAAGCAAAATAGAGCAGATGAAGCTAGTGTGTTTCCTGGAAGAAAATATGCAAATTTTAAATTTAATTTAGTGTGGTGTCAAACACATCTTTTCCATTACAAAGTGTGTGTATGGGTCTCATTTTGCTAAATGCTGTTTAGAAATTATGCATTAGTAATTATAGGGTCCTGCTGATTACATAAATTGTTATCCTGCTCTTCAAGTAATTACCACATAACCTGCATTGAGGTTTATAAGACAAAAATAAGCATCTGTTTTCCATCTAATTGAATGCTTCTCAATGAAGCTGGAGGTCCCCTTGTCAATAGAAACTGCCTTCCTTGACATTCAATTAGGAGGTCTACTGATATCACATAAGCCATCCCAATTATTCCAAAAAAGATTATGTGGGAAGTCAGGCAAATTAGGAGGACTAAAGTGAGAAAAGTGGTAGTTTGCCTAAAAAGAAAAATCTGGACAAGTCGGAGTCTCTCTCTCTCTCTCTCTCACACACACACACATCTTTCTTTTTTAATTTTTAAAAAATTTCCCAAAATAATATTGTTGCCAAAGTATGGTAGCATATGTCTATAATCCCAACACAGAGGAGGCTGAGACAGGAGAATGGCAAGTTTGAGACCAGCCTGTGATACCCTGTCTCAAAACAACTTAATAAAAATAAGACTGAAATCAAAGAGTCAAATTAATTGGGTTAATAAAGCACAAAAATTATCTTGTGTCACTTTGAATCATATATATATATATATATATATATATATATGCAATTTTTTGAATGCAAAATTCCAAAGATGATTTCATCTAAAAGATGAACACATGTGAGTTTTGCCAGTGCCCTAAATGAACTTCCCTATAAAGGAGCCATTCTTGATGCCTAGCCTAGTCCACTTTTGAGCTGACTCTAGCCCAGGATCCAGTGACAACTAGAGAGCTGAGCAAGCTAGCCTACAGAACCATGGAAAGCAATTGTTTAAAGGCATATATTACACACAAAAAAATGAAAGCACATAATAATCTCAGAAATATCATTAGAGCTCAGTTGCCTCTACTCATGCACAAAATTATGAATGTTAGCAAAATATATAATTATTTCAAACATGAATTTGAACGAAGTGAAGACCAAAACTATAAATACAGTATCCTTGCTTAACTTCTCAAAAGTTAACATTGGAATGACAAGTAATATAAGAAAGGAAATACATATGCATGCTAATTAAAATGAGGAAGGTACATCTTCTATATTCCAGAAGCTGTGGAGAATGTGTAGGTTCTAAAAGAGAGAAAGAAGGTGAGACAAGTTGTGTGAAAGATTCTAAAAGAAAAACACATCAAGGGATTAAAAAAATACATTTTACTAAAAAACAAATAATGCATCAATGGCATCATTTCCAAATGAATCTTATGTAACTACTAAGCTCAGCACATACATTTCCTGCCACATTATAAATAAACATCGGAAAATTGTCACAAGATTTAGCACTTCAAAATCTGGTTGTTCAGGAAAAATGTCTGCCACAAAAAGATTGACTGCAAAGGAGTATTCAGCAATCTGTGGAGGAGCTCATTACCAGCGAGATGTATGGGAAAATTCCATGCCTCTGGAGGACAATCCTTCAGGACTGAGGGTCTACTCAGATCTGGCATGCAAAATCTGATTCTGTTTCTGATGATAGACAGCTTTCCCACAAAAAAAAAAAAAAAAAAAAAATGGCAAATATCAAACATAGTATTTCCAAATGTTCTACCTCTACCTAAAGACACTGAAAATAGAATGTCAGCATACAAATAGTTGAGGGTTTCCATGCTTGGCACCTGGGCAGGTTTTTCAAGGAAAGCAAAAGGCTTCTCCTGCCTGAGGTGGCCTTATCTGGCACTTTTCCATCCAAAACTTGAGCAGAAAGTTATGTTGCAAGCCAAAAAAAAAAAAAAAAAAAAATTAGCAGACAAAATCTGGGATAAAGACAGAAGGATTCAAAAAGAAAGGAGGCATGAATCCCAGAAAGAGATGGCTAGAAGATCCATAAATTCTAGGTATGAAATCTGCCCACAGTGCTGTTCAGTACTTGAACTAAACATGCATCAGAGAGCCCAAGAAATAGCAAATTCTGGAAGGAGTGGAAAAAAAATATTCTGTTTGGGATAATAGGTACCTTTCCCATAAAGGTGTCTTGCATCATGAGATAGAAACTATTTTCAATGTCTAGGTATAATAAAAATTATTAAACATATGAAGAAATTAGAAAATATAACCAGTGCTCACCAACAAACAAACAAACAACAATAAAAACCCAAGAAATTGAGAAAAGCCATAAAAACTTTAGATGTTGGGATTACCAAATATCATCATGCTAAATATTGTAAAAGAAAGTTTTCTTGCAGTAAGTAAAATTATTGTAAATCTAAAAAGAAAAATAGAAATTATGACACAGAAAAAGTTCAAAAAGTGATATAATTTTTATAATTCACACTTCAGTAGAAGAGCTTAACCACAAGCTGGGCAGGTGGCACAAACCCATAATCCTAACATCCAAGAATGGTATAGGAATGCCATAAATTAGAAACCAGTCTGTTCTACATAATCAAGCTTTGTCCCTCTAAAGTATTTAAACACAAATTGGAAGTGATGAAAAGATTTGGTGAGCTTTAACATACATGTGTTACATATTACAGATCAATAGAAAATATAAAAAGGGTAAACAAATTTAAAAACCGTGTGAAAATTTATCTGAGGTACAGGAACCTATAGAAGAATATTGAAGACTAAATATGAAGACATGTGATTGCAGAAGGAGCAGGAATTGGTCAAGGAGAACTGTGAAGAAAAATGCTTTTAAAAAATTAATTTTCTTAATTCACTAATAAATGTACACAAGCAAATATAAATTCAAAAATCTTAGCAAATACCAACAGGATAATTGCACAGAACATTATACCTCAAAGTGTTATGGTGAAAGTTATAAAGAGCAAATCAAAATGACTCTGAGATTCCATCGTTCACTGATCAGAAAGGCTAAGATCAAAAACTCAAGTGACAACATATGCTGGAGAGGATGTAGAGAAAGGGGAACCTTCCTCCATTGCTGGTGGGAGTGCAAACATGTACAACCACTTTAGAAATCAGTCTGGCACTTTCTCAGAAAATTGGGAATAGTGCTACCTCAAGATCCAGCTTTTCCACTCCTGGGTATATACCTAAAAGACGCTCCATCATACAACAAAAACATTTACTTAACTATGTTCAGGGCATGGTGGCACACACCTGTAAACCCAGCACTCAGGAGGCAGAGGCAAGCGGAGCTCTGTGAGTTCAAGGCCAGCCTGATCTTCAAAGAGAGTCCAGGACAGCCAGGGATACACAGAGAAGCTTTGTCTAAAAAAATAAAAAAAAAAAAAAAGAGGAAGAACCATGTTCATAGCTGCTTTATTTGTAATAGCCGTAAGCTGGAAACAGCCCAGATGTCCCTCAGTAGAAGAAGGGATACAGAAATTGTGGCACATTTGCACATTGGAATACTACTCAGCTATTAAAAACAAGGACATTATGAAATTTGCAGGCAAATGGATGGAACCAGGAAAGATCATCTTGAGTGAGGTAACCCAGAACCAGAAAGACACACATGGTATAAAGAGCAATTGGAAGAGAACATGTTTAAACAGGCACAGAAAAGAATAGGAGAGCAGAGATTTGAAAGACAAGGAACTTCTCATCAAAAGTGATGGAGGCCACAGGACAATACTTGTAAGCCAGAATCTACTTGCAACAAAGTGCCTTAGAATAAGATGATAAAGGCATCTTCAGACCACACTAACTAAAATATCCCCTCCACTTTCTGTCAGTGATGCTCAAGAAAGTGCTTCAAAGATGGATAGCATACCTCTGCGGGGGTAATATATATTATTTAAAGCAAAGAGGTTATGAAAGCCATTAAGTGGACTCATAGATAAATAAAATGGCACAATAGCAAACTTAAATAGATTGAAAAGTTAAGGACATAAAAAGGAATAAAAATAGAAGTATGTGGGGAGGGGCATGGGAGGAGAGGGAGAAGAGGGAGGGAGAGTGAGGTTGGGAGGGCAAAGGGAGGAGGTTACAGCTTGGATACAAAGTGAATGAATTGTAACAAATAAAAAATAATTTAAAAAAGAAGTACAGAAAATACTAATAGAAAAAAAGGAATATACTAAAAAAAAAAAACTCATACAATGAAAGCATTTAATTTACAGAGTGACTACCTAAGAGAAATTACTGAAAAGTAGATGATGTGTGGAAAAATTATCTAAGTTCTTGAAAAAGACATGGAAATGATATAATAAACAAACACTACTTAGATGGATCTAGAAAATACTAGATTTAAAGTGGATTTAACAGACAGTTGAGTTAGACTTT